AAATTTTTCAGAATTCCTGTAACAGTGTGTGCCTGAATAAAGAAATATATTTCTAAATAAATTTCTAATGGAAGCAGTTTTATGACTTAATAAATGATTATGAAGTCAAAAATGTGAAACCGGTCATTTAACCGACGGTGGGTTGGTTGGGTGGTAGGTTTAGTGTTAAATTAAAGCTTGACGTCTTTACTTTACGATATCATATTCTAATTGTTAACACTAGTTTTTACGGAACCCGGCAAAGTGGCGGGTCATTAATTTTTTAATTTTCGATTATTCAGCTTGCAAAAATATATTTATGAGTTAATTATTACACGCATCTTATTGTTACTTTTATAAAATAATATAAAATAATATAAAATAATATAAAAGTGCCAACTTTAATGGCTTCTATGGAGTCGCAAGAATTTTTTCGAACATGCTGTCTACAGCATCGTGAAGAACGGACCTTCCCCTTTAACTTGAGAGCCGAATTTTTTCTCGCAAAGTTACAATAGTTTAAATGAAAAATGTGCCGCCGACACATTACAACCACATTCTTCTAACTCAATTTCTTTGCACGATTTTTTCTGATGTTAGGTCGTGTAGCATAAAATGTCAGAAGAGAACGATTAATTGTTTTTTTTTTTAAATCAAACGAATATTGTATTAATTAAAATATGCACCATTATGGTTGGACACATTCCTGCAAACTTTTTTTGTTTCTTAAGATTTCGATAAAAATATTCCTCTTCAAAAAAAGTCGCAAAAGAATTCCTTGAAATTTGTAATTACAAACCTGACAAAAATACGTGAATCCTATATTTTATAGCTGAATTAATACACAAGTTTATAATTTTTTTAATTCTTTCATGCGGCGTTTTCATTCGTAGCCACGGATGTGTGCATAAATGAACTTTTATGGTAAATTTTCAAATAGTTCATAGAATTTATTTTTTATAAAAACAACATTGTTAACAAAATTGTTGGTAGGACCGTAAAAATAATGTGCCACTTTATTAAAAGATTTTCTAATATTTAGGACAGCCTAATTACGATTCATCGTCAAGTAATTCCTGCAGAGATAGTTTCAATAAGAATTAGCAATGAACGAAATAATCCAATGTATAATATGTAACGAGAATTACTGTCTGCTAAATTATACTAATTTGTTATTAAGAAGTATTCTAGTGTGAACTTTTAAAAAATCACTTTCTTGCATATTCTTAACGGATATGGTTACAAAAATACATTTCCGGGACCTTATATGCGAACTCCTAAAATTAACGAAGTTACGGTTGTTTGAAGGGCGCGACGATCTTATATCATTATCGATATACAGCAAATTCTCTCTAATTGTGTCTCAGCTTGTAAACAAAAATGGACAATTTTGGGAGAGGAGATACGATTATTCGAGCCCCGCGACTCGTTTTTATAGCCGCCGCTTGTCAACAACTATTATATAAAAACGAGTCGTGAGGCTCGAATAATCGTATCTCATCTTCCTAAATTGTCCATTTCTGTTTGCAAGCTGAGGGACAATTGGAGAGAATTTACTGCACTAAACTTTAAAGACATTTTTCGTGAAAGTATATTTTTTCAGAACAGTGTTCAGGACATCACGAAACCAAATTGGAGCCAAATTTTAAGTACATATGTAACTGCATCCCCTACTAAAATCAATCAAAAATCTTTATTTTTTCTATTCTTTTAGGCCTCCGAAGTTTAACAAAACACGCAAAAATCGATAATCGAATTTCAAAGTATCGCCACTTCTTTAATTACTGACCCTTTTATTCGTTCTGGTATCTGCTATAGGCAAATTCATACTAATTGAGAAACTTTCAAATTTCTTTACTTCGGACAAGCAGAATAGCCGGAATCGAGAACACCGTGAGACGACCTTTCTTAAAAGCGACTACGTTTGAGAGTACACAGCGCAACTTAATTTTAACTTTTCTTTGTTCCAAACAATTTTCAAGCGTCGTTGAAACACGTACAAATAAACCTTGTCAATTCGCCTGCAAAAGGATATAACAGTCTCTTTACAAAAAATTCCGTAACAAAGTTAAAAACACGCGCGCGTCACGTTAGGACACCCCCTTAACGTAGAAATGAATGCAGAGCTCGCGCGAGGATCGGACGTATTAAATGAAATTCAATAACGCGAGCTACGCGATCCGTTCGAACTTGATTGATTGAGACATTAATGGAAGAAGCTTATATAATACCCGGTCCGAATTGATGTATGTTCGACACGGCTTTGTCGATCGTACAGTATCAATGTCCCTGGCAAAATATTCTGTCGCGTGCAATCCTTACGCGAGCAACATACCGCGTGTTCACTTACCGATAAAACGGCGTCAACGTCGCCGATTTCTGATCGCATTAATGCTACGACCAGGAGCACTTTCACTGGATTAAAAACACCCATTGTAGATCGCGGTCGAAGCTGCTTCGTCCGGTTCTAGCCGATTTTCCACTTCTTTCGTTTCGTCTGGTTCATTATTTCGTTCAAACCTTGAACCGCGCGAAATCACACGTCGTCGAGAACTTTTTCGAAATCCGAGGCTCAAACACTTGCGTTATTATATCCAATCATAACTACGAAACCACATTTCACAGTCACCGATTCAGAAACGTATCTTTTTAATTAGTGTACTCCTAAATGGTTCGGCCATGTTTTGTTTACAGATGCTGCGCGACGATTGATTGCATTCTGTTTGTGTTCGATTCTTTCAGGATGCGACGACGAAAACGAAACGTAAGTTTGAATTTTTAAGTGTGATTTTAAGTGCGATACAGGAAAGGCAAGGCGTTGTTTATAGATAAATAACACCTGAAGATGCACGTTTCCTTTCTTTTTGTATTCTATGCCTCGAAAATGTGACGACGAAAGTAAAACATTATTTCTAACCAGTTGAGATATAATCTTTATGTGTAATACAGGAACGGCGAAGCACTGTTTATAAATAATATGCACATCTTTTCGATTTAATGAAGTGGGTGATGCTGTAGACGTCAAACTGAGAGGAAATGGTTGATATAGAGGTCTAGCTAAGAAATTGATCGTTTTGAACTAAGAAAAATTGTATATTTCATTCTAATTGTTGTTCGAAGAAGGAAAATTTGAATGTAATAGTTCTTTCGCGGAGACAATAGGTACTCGATTTCTTTAAAAGAATTCAAATGCTGTCCATAATACCATGGACAAAGCAGGAAGTTTAGAGACAGTTTGCATGTGAATTGTGTGCAAACGATTATGTCACGTGCTCCAACAATATCGAGTGTCTATATCTGAGCTGATATTTTAATGTCTGCGACCATGTTCGCTGAGGTTGCAACTGCTGTTAGTGCTCAACTATCGTTACAAACTTATACTATCGTTCAAGAATATTTCGTCATTACACTGTACGTTGTACACTTGGTGCATATGATTTTTAAACAATTCTCTTCTGTAACAATACTATAACATAGAAATAGACATTTTTAATAAAAAATGAAAAATCTTCGTCATATCAATTCTGCAGCAATTTTAAGCAACGAGATACTAAAAATCACTTTATCATCATTTTATTATCATTTTATCGTCATTTTATTATCGCTTTTTCATCATTTTATCATCATTGTACCATCGTTTTATCATCGTTTTATCATCATTTTATCATCATTTTATCATCGTTGTACCATCGTTTTATCATCATTTTATCATCGTTGCATGAGTTAAGTAATAAGAGAAAACACGCTTTTCAAGCAACAAACGAAAATACTAAAATAGAAATGATAATTTACGTTGCCCGCAATTGCTTCTTACAAAACGTTCTACGTTAATTTACGGTTCGCTGGAAGTGTATCAAGAATGAAATAGCGGCAATGCAAAGAATTTCATTGTAATCCACCGTATCTCATTGTCACTGCGACACTGTTCCATCGCCATCTCGTAGTTTTATCGTTTCTTTCTCCCCGTCGTGCCATAACCATCGGACCATGTGTACAATCACGCTGTCGTTCAACACATTTTCCAACGCGTCTCACGCGTCAGTGTAAAAGGCGTTTCGAGAATCCGGCGGATTAGGTAGCAGTAAATGAACAAGACAGTAGGCGTGTCTTATAACCTGCGCCCAGTCGCCAGTGACTATAGTTACTATGTCGTTCATCAAAGTGGTCATGCATCCTTAGCATTCGCGTTTAAGCACCGCCGTTAAATTGCAACATTCCTGTGGTGCTCTGTAAATCATTGGCCCTTTGCATCGTTATGCGGGACACGTGATCGCTATCAAACATGCCATTCGAATTACTTTCGTAAATATAATTATTAGACAATTACCGTGCCGGACGTGCCGCAAGTTAATTGCTCTGCGTTTATGACACTGGAGAAAAACCAGCATCTTATACGTATATTTTCATCTGATGAACAAACATTATGGCGTTGATAAATTTCAAATGTGCCGGACAATTATGGGTCTTAAATTTGACAATTTATAAGTTGTAGAAAATGTATGGTTTCTGAAAGTCTAAACTGTTTAGAATAAACGTAAATATTTGTCGTTTAGTTCACTCATTTCAAGAAGCACAAAAATAATTACTTTCACGAAAATGCCACGATTAAAGTAACATGTTCCTTGAACTGATTCTTAGGTTGCGCAAACTCTTTAATTCGTCCTCTCCATTCGAGAGATTAAAAATTGAAAAATAGTCATTCAATAAATTATACAAACTATTTATTATTTAATGAATAATAAATTATCGATTAATTTCTTGTTGTCGTTGCAAAAATAACAAGACGTAAACATGCATGCAGTATCATGTTCTAAATGAGCCGTTTATTTTGAAAGTGGCATAAGTCACTTTTTCAAAAAAATCGAGTTAATGGTAACGCTAATTACAATTGAACGGTATCTTTTCATTTTAAAAAAATTTGCAATCAATAAGTTGAGAACTATTGAGATTTGTTCGAGAGAAGTTTTGCTAATTAACGGTATAACAAACATGTTTATTTTGAAAGTGGCGTAAGTCGCTGTACTCGGGAAATTAATTGCGGGGCTTAGTGTAAAAGAAATAGAAACGTGTGATAAGTGTGTGTGAAGTATTGTTTTGAATTATTTTCAGTATTTTTAAAAAAGT